TTGAGTTTGGAAAGAAAATATGATTAGTGTAGCAAAATGTAAAAAAAATAATAATTTGACTTTATATGTGTAATATATGTTAACATGGTAGAAAAATGTGACAAAAAGCTTAATCAATCGATAAACAATACAACTTTTAATAATCATTTTACTCAAATATTAAAATCAGCTAAGTAAATCTAGACTTCTGTAATGAATATCTTAAAAACACCTAAAACCTTTAATCTTAATGTTACCTTTATATTAACATAACATATGGTAATCAAAACACAGAAGGCGCTGAAATTGTTTGGGTCTAAGAATGTGAGATTATAAACCAATTTTTTGTGTAGTGCCAGTAATGCCGTTTCCAGTGTTATAACTGTAGTAAATTGGCTATAAGGCTAATTGCAACACTGGTATTCAATTGAATGTTTATTTGGAACAAACAATTAAAAAAAAAACAATAAAAAAAAACAAGAGGGCCATGATGGCCCTGAAATCACTCACCTGTATATAGGCCCCTGGGCCAAGGCCAATTTTAAACCAGGAGCTTTTATTTGAACAAACTTGGTAGACACCCATTAGAAGATGTTTCAAGATAAATATCTAAGCTCGTGATCTTTGGGGTATATTTAAGAAGATTTTTTAAGTTTTTACTATATACATATAAGGAAAAACAATGACCCGCCCAAGGAGGGGCCAATTTTGACCCCAGAACTTTTATTTGAACAAACTTGATAGACACTCACTAGAAGATATTACATGCTTAGTACCTAAACTCTAGCTCTTTGGGTTTTTTTTATAAGAAAATCTTGTATGTTTTTACTATACACATAATTATAAGAAAAATCAATGAACCCCTGGGGCGATGTTTCATGCTTAATATCTTAGCTCTAGCTATTTGGGATTTTTTAAAGAAGATTTTTGAAGTTTTTACTAAATACAAATTAGGAAAATCAATGACCCCCACGGGGCGCCCCAGGGCATTTATTTAGACAAACTTGGTAGACATTGACTAGATGATGTTTCATCCCAGATATTTCAGCTATAGCTCTTCTGGATTTCTAAAAGTTTTTTCTTTCGGTTGCCATGGCAAACGGAGTTCTGCTTGGACTTAAATCCTTTGAACAGTTTTTGAAGTTGACTACCAAAGGAACATTTCTGTGAAGTTTGGAAGAAATTGGCTTAGCGGTTTATGAGGAGATGTCGTTTAAATTAAAAGTTTATGGACGGAAGACGGACAAAAAGAGATCACAAAAGCTCACCATGTCACTTTGTGACAGTTGAGCTTACAAGAGCTGTCACAGGAGACAGAGAAGCTCAACTTATAAAATTCTGAACGCAGGAAGGAAGACAAAACTATGAAAGAAAAATCAATTATCTATAATTATGTATTAATTTATAGTTAAAAAATAACATTGTTAACATAAATTCTAAGATCAAGGGGAATAGTTCTGGAATTAGTCACGCTAGAGTTGAACCTTGTCACACAACATGTGTGTAATAATAAGAAATATATATTTTAAGTTTGAAGTATATACCTTAAAATGTAAAGAAGTTATGATATTTCTTAAAGAAAATCCTAAATTCAAAAAGAGATAAAATGTAAATATTGCTTTATGAGTTATGGACCGTGTCACATAAAATGTAAGTGATGATAAGAAATAAGTATTTTAAGTTTGAGGTAGATACCTTTAAAATTAAAAAAAGATATACTGAATAATAACATTTTTCAAGTAAAAAATCTAAGTTTATGGTGATATAATTCTTGCAATATTGGTGTTTGAGTTATGAACCTTGTCACATAAGATGTTGTTAATAATAAGGTACATATATTTAAAGTATGAATTTGATCCCTTAAGACATAAATAAGTAACAGTAAAAAACAGTATTTTTAAACGAAAATTCTAAGTTCAAGGGAGATAAATCTAAAAACATATTGGAGCTAGAGTTATGAACCTTGTCACATTAGATGCGGTTGATGATAAGAAACATATATTTGAAGCTTGAAATGACAAAGTTATAGTGAAAAATATTTTACTGCACCAAAACTTTAATCTGAAATATGGACACGGACGCCGGGGCGAGTAGGACAGCTCTCCATATACTTCGTATAGTCGAGCTAAAACAACACGAGTTGCCTTAACTGGGATTTGAACACAGGCCTTCTTGCTTCCAAAACGAGCGTGTAAACACTGGACCACGGGGAAGTTATAAGAGAAAGGCCTGAAGCAAACCACATTATTCTAAATAAGGGTTTGTAATCCTTATTAATTTCGAATTAAATTAAAATTGATTATCAATCGCAGACTTCCCAAAGTACTCCCTGTCTTAGAATCAACATCCTTATTTTATTTTCAGAAAGTCTAAATAACAAATGTTCATTTAAGCGATCACAATAATCCGAAGCTTTACGGAAATAGTCGAGCAATTTTCATTGATTTAAATGAATTGATCCACGAAACAAAATTATTTGAATTTATTACCGGTAATTTGCGGAAATGTTTAAGAATTACACAATATTAGAAATCTTTGACCAATCGAAAACTATTTTTTCATCCCTGAGAAGGTTGAAAATGGATGCGCCTGTCATTTGACAATCTTTACGCAGTGATCTTGCCTTAATTTTCGGCGTTAATGTACTTATAAAGGGAAGTCATCGCTTCCAGGAGTTCGTGACGGACTACTTGCGGATTTTGCAAATAAGCATATCAGGGTCTGAAAGTTCGCTGCAATTATTTGTCTGATGACCCAAACAATCAATAAGTAAGTATAAAATGCATGGCTGCCAGCGTGAAAGAGGATGCTGGCATCCAGAAACCTCTTATATATAACCTAGATGTAGCCCAGAACTTGTATATGTCCCCGATGTGCAGCTGTGAATTGGTATATATTATATCCCGAAGGTGCAGCCAACAACTTGTATAAACATCCCAATGGTGCAGTCAACAACTGTTATATACATCCCCAAGGTGCGTCCACAAATGGTATATATCTATATATATATCCCCATGGTGGGGACAACAGCTGGGATATATTTCCCCATGGTGCGACCAACAACTGGTATATATCCTCCCAAGGTGTATGTCCCCAAAACCAACAGCATGGAGGCAATAAAGAGTTAGCAATATGCACTTGCACCTGACAGCAATGCGTTATATTATCTAATGTGTATATATGTTTATATTTAATGATATGTAAGGACTTACAACAAAACCATATTAACATCCATATATGCGTGTAATTTGTTTTGATTTGCAGATAAACGGTTACACTCATTTTAAATACATAAATAGTCCTAAAAACAATATTTTAAAAATTTCATTGTTTAGCACATTTAATGTTATACTCTCTATGCTAAAACATCTAAATTTACTATTACCCATATTTACACTTAGGTTGTGTTTATCTATACAATTCAAATAAAAACAAGCAAAGAATTCGCTTAAAGGAGCTCCACTGAGGTCCGGAAGTATAAAAATTGAAAATTCAAAACAGATCAATTCGGGAACTTAAAACGGAAATTATATAAAACTGATACTAAAGAAAGATACTCTGAATTAAATGGAAAATCAATATTTAGATTGGGCCGAAATTTAGTTATTCGCGTTGAAATGTTTTAATTATTTTATTTTTGGCCATTGTAAACAAGAGCAATAATTCTATCATGTCAAAAAACCTCAGTAAAGTCCCTTTAACTAATTAAACTAACTAACAGTATACTAACTAACAGTATAAATTGTACACATTAATCGCTTTGCATAATTATAATTAGATATAACTTTTTTCATCCTTACAATATAAAACAAACAATAAACAGTTCTTTAAAATATAACAAGAAAATGTCCTTCATCTCAATGAAAAATTATATCACTTGTTATAAAAGTATTGTTCCCTTGTCCTTTATATCATACCATATACCATTCACTTCTACATTCATATTACTGTTTTTATATACATATAACATTCACTTGTCCCATGTTTTTCTGTACGAAATCTGCTGTGGTCATAGTATTATTTTTACAATAGGTTTATCTCTTAGATTTGGTTCGCTATGTTGCTAATCATGGTCATGCAACTACATAGTTAGGTGAAGAAGCAGGCGCTTGTTTTGGTTGAGTCTATTATGTTTTGTTTAGGGGGTTGAGTTGTCATACACAAATTTACAATTTATATGCATTTATTTTTTTCCAATGATTGTTATTATCTTAAGTGCTTCTGGGATTGTTGTTTAATCAATTCATTTGTAAATAAGATTGTTATATGTCTATTAACGGAATAATTTTAATGAACACGAAATTAGTTCACACCTACATGTGTATTGGTTACGTGATGGTTTAAGCCAATGAAAACACGTCAATATTATTATACTCAGGCAGAGAAAAGGTGTGCAAAGAGTAAATCGATAATCTTTATGTAGCCAGCAAACTTTGAATTGCAAGTATTTTTTCATATCTTTTCGGCAGAATAAAGTTTTCGAGGATTCGTATCGTAAAATGGCTGCCATTTACAGTATCAAGTGATTATCCCAAGCACCACCGCGACTTAGCGCGGGAATTTTAATTATAGCTAACCTCGGCGCGTATACCTTTTTCATATTTTATTGTAATAAATATTTACAAACTGTGTCTTTCGGGTTTTTTTTATCAATATATAACCAATAATGAGGTTAATATGAATAATTAATCATATCTCAAATCTTTGACTATGATTTACAATGAAATTCTACCTTAAGTGTATTAAAAAGGTTTTTAATTTCCTGTAATTTTATTTTGTGATTATGCTTCAAAGCAGTCAATTGACCGTGAATTTTCTTTTCATATTTTGATTTCCTTGAAATCATTTTTCTCATCTGAAGGCATGCAACTTTAATATGGTGATACATTAATTACATTCCATGAAAATGTTTAAAGATATAAAATATCTCATGACATGTTTGTTCATTTTACATTACAACAAAAAGTAGTATGCAATCGTACCTATATTACATACGAATGTATGTAATATTTTTCTTGTTTAAGAGGTATTTATATATACCATTCCCTTGTCTTATATATCATATAACTGGTATTATGTATACCATTCCCTTGTCTTATATATCATATAACTGGTATTTATGTATACCATTCTGATATATGCATGTATAGATCATTCTATTTATCTCTTATTTTTGTTTTCATGTATCCATTTATATATTTATTTATCATCTCTTCTAGCAAGAGATAATTTAGTTTGAACAAAATGTTAACTACATGTATCCTTTATCAATTTTTTGTAAGCTCACCTGACCACTAAGTGGTCAAGGTGAAGTACAGTTAAGGGGCTATGTCCGGCGTCCGTCGTCGTCAACAATTGGTTAGTTAACAGTCTGACAGTCACAGTTTTGATTTGATCGTCATAAAACTTTGTCAGAATGTTTGTCTAAATGACATACAGATCGAGTTCGTAGATGGGTTAATCGAGTCAAAAACTAGGTCACATGAGCTAAAAATAGAAAAAGCTTGTTAACACTCTAGTGGCTGCAGTTTTGATCAAAATATTATGGAAATTTGTCAGCAAGGTTGTTTTGATGATTTTTAGGTCAAGTTCGAAGATGGGTGATATTTGGTCAAAAACTAGGTCACATGAGCTAAAAATAGAAAAATCTTGTTAGCACTCTAGTGGCTGCAGTTTTGATCCAAATATTCTGGAAATTTGTCAGGAAGGTTGTTTGATGATTTCTAGATCAAGTTAGAAGAAGGATTATCTCCGGTCAAAAAATAGGTCACAAGAGCTAAAAATAGAAAAATCTTGTTAACACTCTAGTGGCTGAGTTTGATTCAAATATTCTGGAAATTTGCCAAGAAGGTTGTTTTTTTTATTATTGCTAGGTCAAGTTCGAAGATGGGTTATCTCCGGTCAAAAAATATGTCACAGGAGCATAAAATAGAATAATCTTGTTAACACTCTAGTGGCTGCAGTTTGATTCAAATATTCTGGAAATTTGCCAAGAAGGTTGTTTGTTTATGATTGCTAGGTCAAGTTCGAAGATTGGTCATCTCCGGTAAAAAACTAGGTCACAGGAGCTAAAAAAAGAAAAAGCTTGTTAACACTCTAGTGGCTGACGTTTTGATCCAAATCTCCAGGAAATCGGTCAGAAAGGTTGTTTTGATGATTTCTAGGTGAAGTTCGAATATAGGTCATCTTCTGTCAAACACTAGGTCACAGGAGATAAAAATAGAATAAAGAAAAAGCTTGTTAACACTCTAGTGGCTGACGTTTGGTCCAAATATTCCGGAATTTTGTGAAGAAGATTGTTTTGATTATTTCTAGGTCAATTTCGACTATAGGTCATCTCTAGTCATAAACTAGGTCACAGGAGGTAAAAAAGAAATCTTGTTAACACTCTAGAGGCTGCAGTTTTGATCCAAATATTCTGGAAATTTGTCAGGAAGGTTGTTTTGATGACTTCTAGGTCAAATTTGAAGATGGGTCATCGCCGGTCATAAAATACGTCACAGGAGCTAAAAATAGAAAAATCTTGTCAACACTCTAGTGGCTGCAGTTTTGATCAAAATATTCCGGAAATTTGTCAGGAAGGTTGTTCTGATGATTTCTAGGTCAAGTTCGAAGATGGTCATCTCAGGTCAAAAACAAGGTAACAAGAGCTAGTAATAAAAAAATCTTGTTAACACTGTAGTGGCTGCAGTTTTGATCCAAATATTCTGGAAATTTGTCAAGAAGGTTGTTTTGATGTATTCTAGGTCAAGCTTTGCAATGGGTCATATCCAGTCAAAATTTAACATACTAGATTTCACATTTTTGACTCAATTGTCATCAAACTTGGCCAGGATTCTTGTCTAAGACATTTCTTGGATGCAGTTGATGGGTTGGGGGAGCGACTAAGGATCATCATGGCCCTCTTGTTGTAAATACAAACCAAAAGTGATCATCACTTTTGACATGAAATAATTGATCCTTATCTTTTACATACTGTTTACTAATAGCATCATTTTCCTTCCTTCTTCCTCGTGATGTCAATGTTAACATATCAACATTACACTCCTCACCATCTCCTGTTATATAACAGTCCATTACAATCACATTTACAGTATGAAGAATAGCAGGAAGACTGTCAACAAACTTCTGCCATGTTGTCAAACTCATTATGACATCATTAAGCTTAATGTTCTTTAATCTCTTCATCTCTAACGGTGACTGTAAAATATTGTCATGTAACCTACAAAACCGTAACTCAAGCTTACTGAGATTGTGTAACAATGGTAATACTCTGACAAGTCTATCTGTTATGTTGGTATGATATAATTGAGATTTACTGAAAATATCCCCAAACAATTCAAGTTCTTTTAATTTGTTAGATTTCCTTATAATATGAAATATTTTCTCAGAACTACTATCTGTCAATTTATTATATTTAAATATTTCAAGGTTTGTAGTATCAGCATCTAACAAACCAACAGCATAATTCATATCAAGGTTCTGAAGTTGTTGATGTTTTGATAAATTTATATCATGCTGCTTCATACACACACATTTAACATACTCAAGATGTACTTGTTCAAGATGACAGGCTCTCTCAAGAAAATTACAGAATGTATTAGTATCATCATGACTCATTGTTATACGACTCATTCTTATTGCTACAAGATTTATCATACTAGGTAGGTTACTTACAACTGTTTTATACATTGGGTTACACTTGTCTGTGTAATAGACACTACTAAATGACAGAGATTTTAATGTTAAAGTATTTAGTTTAATTGTCTCAGAAACAGAATTGTTTATCTCATTAATCATATGTTCATTACTCTGTGTACTTTGACTTTGTGTACTTGATAACCTTTGTGATAAAAGGTCACATGCTATTGCAATTTTCTCAAAATGATGAAACAATGGTAAATATTTTGTAAATTTAACATTTCTTGTGCTGATGTCATATATTCTAATAGACAGAACAGAGTCAGGATCAATTCGTTTCTGATCAATACTTGAACAAACAATATCAAGATTCTCCCTATCATTGATGACTAAATCTCCTATATAAAAAACAGGACTACTTCCTACAATACATGTTGCATTTAATTCCGCAACTGACTCGAAAATTACCTTTTGAATATCAGTAATACAATTAAGATCCACACATATGTTCCTACTTATTGTTTTCCTGAATTCCTGAACACCAGAGTCTTCTGACACAGTATCATATATGTATTTTGAAACATGCGTTGCTAATCTAGGTTCTAGACCACATAGCATAATGACAACATTTGACTGCTCTAATATGTCATTTACTGTTGAACATTTCCGAAAAACCTTACAAATGAACCTCTTGGCTGATTCAACATTTCCTGCACTATCTGACGAACAATGTTTTGGATTGAATTTGATACCAATATTTACGGCAGCCAGAAATTCTTGCATTGATTTGTGAATAAAAGAGAAGAATGAGCTTTTAGGTTTACTTACAGAAAAAGAAGGACATTTATCTTCTGTCAAAATTCCCAGTTTCAGACATGTTTCTCGCACTTCATTCGATATTTTCAAATCATCAAATACAGATTTATCAAATGTTAAGGACTTATTCTTCGGATAATTGAACAATGTCTCATAAGCCAAGTGCGACACACTATATATAAGATGACTATTTAATCTACATATCTCTATATCTGTTAAATACTGAGGGAGTTCAACATTCTGAGAACTTTCCATACATTCTGTATTATTTCCTAAAGTTTTATTGATATTCCAGGTGAAATAAAGTTCTAACATACCAGTATAAATAGCACACCTCGAGGTGTTATCAAGTTTACCATCACACCATAAACAAATCAATTGCTGCAGCATAATTGGTACCTGTTTCAGGCCAATCAGAGACGGTTCTTTAAGCTTTCGTTCACACTCACTAGGATCTAATGATTCATTCAATGCTATTATTGTTTTTTTTACCATTTCTTTTTCATGTTTTTCATCAAACCCTTTTAATTTCAATAATTGATGAATTTCTCTATTACTTACTCTCAAACTGTGGATTTTCCATGGCCGTGATGTAGTTACAATTGTGTATTTCTTTGTAAAGTCACGTTCAGGAAGGCCTGCCTGGAACTCATTCCTAGTTTCGCTGTCAAAAGACCATTCATCTAAACCATCAAGCAAAATAATTATCTTTTCAGAATCATTTTCTAGAAGTTTGCATAAAATTTCTATCTTATCATATCGCTGTTCAAGCATTTCTTGGACACTTCGTATTTTTACGTTATGTCTAAGAGAAATATAAAACATGAAATCAAATGTTTTCATTTCCTTGACTCCTTCAAAATCATTATCTTCATTGTGTCCATCACTGTGTGCCACACACCAACAGTTGATCAAATATTTACAGAAACTACTCTTACCAGACCCTGCATCTCCAACAACATAAATAAATTTCTGTGGATCCCCGTTCTTTGTGAAAATCTCTGACATTGACCTTATTTCTTTTTCCTCAGACTCCCTTTTGCTCTTTTTCATCTTGCTTGTTATAGTGGGTCTTATATAAATGTCACTGAAGTTATAATTTTCTTCATCTGGTTGTAAAGGTATTGCTGATACTTTAAGTACATCACTGCGATAATGTTCTATCAATTGAGTACGACAACCTGAAATTTATTTAACAGTCCATTAAATCTGCAATACTTACCAGGGTTAAAACAAATCTGTCAACTAAATTTAAGCACTTTTCAAGGACTTTTTTCATGTTTTTAAGGCAAATTTTTGCATTTTCAAGGACAAGTTCCGCAAATGATTTCCTGCAACTAATCGAGGTGTCAAGCAAAGATTTCTATCTAAATGCAAATTGTACACTTCAGGCACCTGATCACAGCCATTTATCCTGCATTTTCCTTGAGTATGTTTCCTCTCTCATATGTATTGCTTCTCTAATACTTTAAGCATTTTCACTTTCTCCTATACATGTTTACCATCTTTTCAATTATCTTCTAGCATATAGGCCTTAACCCATTACTGCACGAGCACTTTGTAAAAAATGGCGGTTTTCATTGAAAAGTCACCCGTTAGAAGTTCAAATTGCTGTAAAACTATTAAAACTGCTTCAATACTAAATAAACTTGGCACAAATGTTAACTGGACAATTGCCTTTGTACCAACATGCTCAGTCTGAAATTTCATATTACCATGGCAACGAGGGGACATCACAAATTTGGCAAAAATCTTTATTTTGTGTTGATTTTTTCCATCAAAATTGATTCCAAAGTGCTGCAACTTCTCAATAGATTGAGATAGAGTCAAAGGCTTTTCAGCGTTGGTTACACCTTACCTTATGATTGACCTTGGTTTATGTTTAGCCTCTCACAAGTCCAACAATTTCTTGGCGATAAGGGGGGCTGCTGCCACCTTTTAAACACCCCGAACAGAAGGGGGCACATCCCCCTTCTGGCAACCCCCCTGTGGTATCTTTTGGATAGGGGGCGGCGCCGAAAAAGTGGTCACTTTTTTAAACAACTTTCTCAAACAAAAACAAGTGTTAGGGGCCTAAATAAAGCATTTTTTTCACCATTTTAAACAACAACAAAGGGGTCGGGGGTGAAAAAGGCGTTAAAATATAGCACAAGAAAGGGTAAAAATGCATCCCAGTGTCAATGTTAATACCGCTTTGCAAGGCTTTCTTAAGATATGTATTAAACTCTCTGATAATTTATCAAATATTAAGTAAACAAGAAATGTCGAACGACACATATTTCCCCCTTTCTAGCCCTTGACTCACATATATAATTGGTAATTTTGTTCGAGAAACTTGCCATAAATGGGTACATTGAAGTATTCAATTATGAAAAAAAAGAAAAATAATGAACACTTTGCGATAAATAGTTTTCAAGAAAATGAGACATTTAAGGCCCCTGTGACCTTGACCTTTGACCTTGAGACCACAAAATCAATAGGGGTCAGTTACTAGTTATGAACAATCAATATAAGAAATATGAAGACTTTGTGATGAAAAGTTTTCAAGATAATAAGCGGAAACTATTCTGACATTTAAGGCACCTGTGATCTAGTGACCCCAAAAGCAATACGGATCATCTGTTGGTTATGACCACACACTATGTGAAATATGAACACTTTGTGATAATTATCTTTCTTGATAATGAGCTGAAATCCTCTACCATTCAAAGACCCTGTGACCTTGACCTTTAACCTGGTAACCCCAAAATCAATAGGGATCATGTAATAGTTATGACCAATCAATATGTCAAATATGAAGACTTTGTGATAAATTGTAACCAAGATAATAAGTGGAAATCATATTAACATTCAAGGCCTCTGTGATTTTGACCTTTATCCTTGTGACCCCAAAATAAATAGGGGTCATCTACTAGTTATGACCAATTAATATGTGAAATATGTAGACTTTGTGATGAATACTTTTCATGATAAATCAGCGGAAACCATTCTGACATTTAAGGCACTTGCGACCTTAAAATTTGACCTAAGTGACCCTAAAACAAATAGGGGTCATCTACTAGTTATGACTAATCAATATGTGAAATATGCAGACTTTGTGATAAATAGTAACCAAGATAATAAGTTGAAATCATATTACCATTCAAGGCCCCTTGACCTTGACCTATGACCTTGTGAACCCGAAATCACTCGGGGTCATCTTCTAGTTTTGACCAATCAATATGTGAAATATGAAGATTTTGCGATTAATTTTAACTAAGATAATGAGCAGATATCATTCAGACATTTGAGGCCCCTGTGTCCTTTACCTTTGACTTAACGACCCCAAACAATATACCCCCTCTTCTTCAAGAGGGGGGGGGGATAAAAATAGGGGACGAGTTGACCACGGAATAAGTTGACCAAAGAGGGCAAAGATGGCCTTAGATCGCTCACCTGACACATCGAACTCATCCGAACAATTACCTACACAAGCATTCTGACCAAGTTTCATGACAGATGAGTAAAAAATGTGACCACTGGAGTGTTAACAAGGATAATCCATATTTGAGCAGTGTGACCTAGTTTATGACCCCAGGTGACCCATATTCAAACTTGACCTAGAAATCATCAAAACAAATTTTCAGACCAATTTCCAGGATATTTGGATAAAAAAAGTAGCCACTAGAGTGTTAACAAGGTTTTTCTATTTTTAGCTCCTGTGACCTAGTTTTTCATCCGAGATGACCCATGTTCGAACTCTTCCGAGCCATTACCTAGACAAGCATCCTGACCATATTTGATGATGATTGAGTCAAAAATGTGACCACTAGAGTGTTAACAAATTTTTTCCATATTTGGGCGGTGCGACCTATATTCAAACTTGACCTAGAAATCATTAAAACAAACTGTCAGACAAATTTCCAGGCTATTTGGATCAAAACAGTAGCCAGTAGAGTGTTAACAAGATTTTTTCTATTTTAGCTCCTGTGACCTAGGTTTTCATTCGAGATGACTCAAGTTCGAACTCATCCGAGCAATTACCTAGACAAGCATGCTGACAAAGTTTGATGATGATTGAGTAAAAAATGTGACCCATAGAGTGTTAACAAGGTTTTTCTAATTTTAGCTCATGTGACCTAGTGTTTCATCCGAGATAACCCATGTTTGAATTCATCCGAGCAATTACCTAGACAAGCATCCTAACCAAGTTTGATGATGATTGACTCAAAAATGTGACCAGTAGAGTGTTAGCAAGGTTTTTCTATTTTTAGCTCCTGTGACCTAGTTTTTCATCCCAGATGACCCATTTTCAAACTCGTCCAATAAGCATCCTGACAAAGTTTGATGATGATTGAAGCAAAAATGTGACCGCTAGTGTGTTAACGAACAAGTGTGGACGGACGACGGACATTCAACGATCCTAAAAGCTCACGCTGAGCTAGCGCAGGTGAGCTAAAAAGGTAACCAGTTGACCACGGGACGAGTTGACTCAAAATCAGCCAGCACTTGGCAATGGGCATTTTAAACATTGCTTTATATAATAACTGATGGATAATCTTGCATGAACTTGAAAAGGAATTTAGATTTTTTTCCATTCTTAGACTTATTTAACCAGATTTTTCAATGTTGATTTTGTTTATACTCGTAAAAACCTGTAATGCAAAAAAGCAATGGTGTTGTATACCTATTTCGATGACGTAAAACACATTTTCTATTTATTTCGTACTCATTAACATTCGTAACATAAATAAGTAACATTCGTAAAATGAATAAGTATTAAGTATGGGTAAATAAAAATTTCAACAAAAATGGTTATTTTTTTTTATTTAATTGATGATCACTGTTATTTTTACGAAAATCAGAGATTTTCAAGGATTGTTTTTTCAAAATCAAGCCATTTTAAAGCACTTTTTCAAGGACACCCTTAATTCAAGCACTTTTCAAGATAAGATCGTTTTCAAGAACTTTTCAATACCTGACTGCGAACCTGACTTACAAATAATCTAAAAATATTCCCTCACCACAAGATATTTGTCAAATACAGACATTCTAGAGAAATCTCAAGACATTTAAATGATGATTTTGAAGTAAGTGTTGTTTTGTAAATTAAATACAAAAATATATGATAAAATAATCACAATTAGGGCAAAATTCAATAACTTGACCACGACGACCTGTCCAGGCCAAGGACATTTTAAGGTCAAAGTCTTATTTGAATTATACAAAATTTGTGTCACAAAGTCGAAATTCTTACTTGAATTATTCAAAACTCAAGTTATGTCAAGTATATTTTGACCAAGAAACAATAAAATCTGAAAATAAATAAATTAATCAAGATCTAAGATATAATCAATTTGACCTAAACAGCAAAGGTCATTTAAAAGTCCAGGTACTATTTGGAATATTCCAAAGGTTTGTTTTGTTATAGATATTCTAAAAAAGCGGGTCGTGTTAGAATTTTATATAATCCACATAATGTTTAAGCCTTTTGTTATTATATGAAGCAAAAATTACGTGATTTAGCCTTTTTATTATCTGTACAACATGTCTGACTTAGCCTTAAATATTACGAATCCCGGACAATCCCCCTCCCGGACGATTCCCCTTCCATATTATTTTCACAACCCGGACATTTCCCCTCCCGTTATTTTAATAGGGCGAACTTTTCCCCTCCCGTTAATTTAGCAGAGCGGACAATTCCCCTCCCATTTTTTTAGCAGAGCGGACAATTACCCTCCCGTTTTTTCACATTGCGTATAAAAAAATCTATAACCATTCTTATTAAAGATGACAGTTTTTACTCTTAACAATAAATTGTTAAAGATCGGAACTTTTAACAATCATTATTTCACAAAAGTGACATTATTCCGCCTTTAATCATTGCCGCCGCTGCTTAAGATAAACAAACTGTCAATAAAAATCTTTAATCATTGCCGCCCTTAATTAAATGTGTCATTAATTGCAAGAGTTAAACCAATTAAAATGAAGGAGAATATTCCTACAAATGTGTTCAATCATATATAAAATCAAAATGATCACTGATATTTTGTGTAAGGACTTCATGTACTGATTCAATATGGTGAATATGATTTTCTAATCATAATGACGATGATGACAGTTCAATTTACTATAACATGTGCATAATATATTCTTTGCAAGAATCTACAGCTTAATTACTTTTTTGTTCTTATCAATTGTTCTTTTATTGTTTTGCCGCTGCAAAAATGTTTATACCTTTCAAATAAACAATATTATATAATATATATATATTCAACTGCCACGGGAGGGAAATTGTCCGCTCTGACAACAGCGGGAGGGGAATTGTCCGGTTTGTTAAAAGAACGGGAGGGGAATTGTACGGGTTGATAAAAGAACGGGAGGGGAATTGTCCGCCGTAAAAAAATAACGGGAGGGGAAATGTCCGGGTTGTGAAAAAACATTCAAATTTACTGGGAGGGGAATCGTCCGGGAGGGGAATTGTCCGGATACCTAATATTACATATAACATACCTGATTTAACCTTTTCTTATATCATACATGTATAACATACCTGATTAAGCCTTTTCATATTTTATATAACATACCTGATTTAACTTTTTTTTTCATATTCTAAATTAACCCACTTGATTTAGTATTTTCATAATCTGTAAAACATACCTAATTTTGCCTTTTATATTCGAAATTAACCCACTTGATTTAGTCTTTTCATAATCTGTTAAACATACCCTATTAAGCCTTTTCATATATTATCTAACATACCGGATTAAGTCTTTTCATACATCATTTCACATGCCTCATAAGTCTTTTCATATTTTATATAACATGCCCGACTTAGCCTTTTCATATAATATGAAATTAGGCAAAATATGATAAACAAGATCAACAAGGAAAAGCGGCGTTCAATGAACGCAACCCCCACCCGACCCAGTAACAAGAGCCAGTGGCAAGGAGCCCAGGAGCAGGGTTCCCACAAAGAAGAGAAATCAAAATTCCCTGACTAATCCATGACTTTTCCCTGACCAAAACCATTTTTCCCTGACCAATAACAGCGTCAAGTCTGCACAATCTTAGAACATTAAATGTATTTTTTATACATGTATTTCGACCTCCTCCTCCCCAAACAGCTAACCTATTTTCTCCAATTCTTTATTTTAAATTATTCAAGATAAAAAATACATGAATATTAGTGAGCAATTGTCATAAGCAACTTGTCTTATTTACTTTCAACAAGTATGAGTAAATTTATCCAAAATGTAAAGTATTTGATAGTACATGTTATGCTGAAAGATGTTTCATTCTCTTACAAATGCAAAGCAGTGTAATCAATGCAGGATTGACTAAAACAGGCCTGTATTTTAATAAAATATACGATAGTTATCAATGGAAAACTGGTGTTGGACAAGAAACAATAAGACAGGTAATGAAGTGGCTACATTAAAAGCAAAATGCAGTAAAAGCTTGTAATACTACTAATAAAACTAGCTATGGCAGTTAGTATTTCAAAGTTATGGTTTAATGCATGTGTGCAAACACAACACGGCACTAAAATTATTGGTACTTAATCGAAGTCCACTAAGTGTTTTTCTCAAGTTTCTCAATATCTTTACTTGATTCTTTTATTACTTTTCTTTGACCTTGACCCTGAAGGCATTGCACTTGGCATTTTACTTCACAAGCAAGTTCATTTTCATATTTTACAGCCTCCTGAGCAGATTATCAGCCTCTTTCACACGAACAAACCATAAATAACTCAGGAGACATGGGATGCTTAAACTCCTTTTAGCTTCTTTCTTAATAAGATAGTTACTAATAATGACAAAAATATCCAGAATCTTCAGGCAGAAGCATAATCATTTTAAGAGTAAAAAAATATAAAAGTAAAACAGATGCTCATAATCAAAAATAACAATAAAGATACCCAAAATGATGGAAGAAACTGCCTTAGCTTTTACTGATTTTGCTTCTTGCTGTTTCACAAAAACATTATTTTCTACACAATTCCCTGACTTTTCCCTGACTTTTGCTTATTTTTCAAATTTCCCTGACCAATTTCAAAATTCCCTGACTTTTCCCTGACCTTGAAAAAAAATCATTTTTCCCTGACTTTTCCCTGACCGTGGGAACCCTGAGGAGGACTTAAACAAAAACAAGACAAGGCACAAGGCAGAGCATGGGCAGGCTAACCACTAAAATCTTACATAAGAATAAATAATTAGTAACTCATAAGGAACTAAAAGAAACACATAAATGATAGTATAATAGGCCCATAAAGTCAAAGGGCACAGGGGAAGGGGACATGAGACCCGGGAAGGGGGGGGAATAAATAAAATTAAATTAAAACTAGGGTCAATGGGGAAGATACTAACCGTAGACGAGAAAACAACAAGGGCCACAAAAGTGTCACCAAAACAGTATGAAACAACATAGACATACATCTGAGGAACACAGAGGGGTGCCGCCTTGGAACGGTCAGCAGCATAAATACTGCTAGGTTCATAAAGCCTATGAACGGGGAGTCTTAAAAAAATCCTTACATTGTCCGTTTTTAGATGTCAGTAGGAATTTCATGCATCGTTTCTGTGTTCACTTGGAACACCGGACGATTATTCTTAATCCGAAAAGTTGAGATACATTCAGTCATCGGAATACCCCGCCTAAAATAATTGAGTTAAATTGTAAATGGCGGCACCTAACTAGAACTGAAGCTAAAAAAATTTAATTTACAGGTATAAAATTCTATATATTTTTTAAGTTTATTTTTATTTGATTTCATTTAAATATGCATGTGTAGTCTATAGCCGGGCAAGCCAAAGTCCAGTATTATTATATATTATATATACTTCCCCGTATTATATAACATACCTGATTTAGTCTTTTCATATTGTATATATATAGCAAACCTGATTTAACCTTTTCATAATCTATATAACAAACCTGATTTAGCCTTTTCATATTCTATATATATAGCAAACCTGATTTAGCCTTTTCATATTCTATATAACATGCATGATTTAGCCTTTTCATATTCTATATATATAGCAAACCTGATTTAGCCTTTTCATATTCTATATAACATGCATGATTTAGCCTTTTCCATATTCTATATAACATACCTGATAATGCCTTTTCATATTCTATATAACATACCTGCTTTAGCCTTTTCATATTCTATATACACTTTTAACATACCTGATTTAGCCTTTTCATATTCTAACTGTTTTTGTAGAGGAGAATCTTCTACCTTGAGTCTCTTTGTATTCTACAACATAAATAATAATACAAATAATAACGTTTTTTTTCCCGGGGCTGGGCCAATTTAAACCCCAAGGGATTTACTCGAACAAACTTGGTAGACACCCATTAGAGATGTTTCATGCTTAATATGTAAGCTCTAGCTTCTAAGATTCCAAGTTTTATTTTACACACATATAGGGAACAAGAGCTGTCACCCAAGTGACGAATGCTCCCGAAAACGTTTCTTAAGCATGCAGGTAGTATGAAAAGAAAAGAAAATTAAAGTATCTAATTCCTAAAATTGTTCTTTGTATTATTGAACCTGTAATATCTAATTGTGATAGCTTGAACCTTCAAAATATAAGTGTAACCTTGACCTTTGAAGAAGGGACGTGGTTCCTCGAGGCGACAGAATGTTGTTACGAGATAGACGTCTGAGCCAAGTTATTTCAAAATCCCTCAATGCATGACAAAGTTACAGTCTTGACATGATTGTTGTGTAAGTGAGGTTACACGGACGAACAGACGGACATGAGCCTTAGCCACGACACATTGTTTAAAATCCTTCCATGCATGACAAAGTTACAGTCCGGACATGAATGTGTATATTCAAGCTCTTCTCGAAAGAATGAGTACCTTCAAACTATAAGTGTGACCTTGACCTTGAAGGTAAGGACATGGGTTTTAGTCATGACTTGTCGTCTTGATGTGTTAGACGTTTATACCTAGTTATTTCAAAATCCCTCGATACATGACAAAGTAACAGTCCAGACACAAATGTGTGTACCTTGATAAACTCTAATTGTAATAAAGTGAACTTCAAAATGGTAGTGTGACCTGACCTGTGAGGTAGGGACGTGATTATTAGATGTGACACATCGTCTTGATGTGGTAGACATTTATACCAAGTTATTCTAAAATCCTTCCATGCACGACAAAGTTACAACCGGACATAAATGTGTGTACCCATAAACTCTTATTGTGATAAAGAGAAATTTCAAAATGTTAGTGTGACCTTGATCTTTGAGGTAGGGACGTGATTATTGAACGCGACACATCGTCTCTATGTCGTAGATATTAATGCCAAGTCATTCTAAAATCCTTTGATTCATGACAAAGCTACAGGTTGGACACGATTGTGTGTACCTATTTGTTCTAATTGTGATAATGTGATCTTCCAAATATATGTGAGACCTTAACCTTTGAGGTAGGGACGTAATTCTTGGTCGCGACACATCCTCTTGATGTGGTAGACATTTATGCCTAGTTATTCTAAAATCATTTTTTGCATGACAAAGTCTGGACACGAATGTGTGTACCTATTTACTCTAATTGCGATAATGTAAAGCTTCAAAATGATAGTTTGACCTCGACCTTTGAGGTAGGGACGTGTTTCTTGGACGCAACACATCGTCTTGATGGCTTAACATTTGTGCAAAGTTATTTCAAAATCCCTCAATGTATGACATGGTTACAGTCCCGACACGAATGAAGTGGGGGCGCACAGACGGATGGACAGACAGATGATGCGATTTTAATATGCCTCCCTTCGGGGCATAAAAACAATGAACCGCCCCCCAGGCGGGTCCAAGTTTTAGCCAACGGCTTTAATTTGAACTAAATTTGTAGACACCAATTAGAAGATGTTTCATAATATCTAAGCTCTAGCTCGTTGGGTTTTTTAAAAGAAGATTTTTTAAGTTTTTACTATACACATATAATTAAAAACAATGACACCCCTGGGGTAGGGCCAATTTTGGCCCCAGAATTTTTATTTGAACAACTTTATAGACACTCACTAGAAGATGTTCCGTGCTTCATATCTAAACTCTAGCTATTTGGGTATTAACAAGAAGATTCTTTAAGTTTTTACTTTACACATTTTTACAGGAAAATCAACGACCCCTGGGGCGGGGTCAATTTTAACCCAAGGGCTATTATTTGAACAAACTTGGTAGACACCCATTTGAACACGTTTCATGGTAAATATCTTAGCTCTAGCTCTTTGGGTTCTTTAAAAGAAAATTTTATAAGTTTTTACTAAATGCATATAGGGAAAATCAATGACCCCTGGGGCGGGCCAATATTGACACCAGGGCTTTTATTTGAACAAACTTGTAAAAAACCCATTAGAAGATGTTTCCTGCTAAACGTCTTAGCTCTAGCACTTTGGATTCTTTAAAGAAGGTTTTTTAAGTTTTACTATATGCATATAGGGAAAATCAATGACCCCCTGGGGCAGGGCCAATATTGACACCAGGGCTTTTATTTGAACAAACTTGTAAAAAACCCATTAGAAGTTGTTTCCTGCTAAACGTCTTAGCTCTAGCACTTTGGATTCTTTAAAGAAGATTTTTTAAGTTTTACTATATGCATATAGGGAAAATCAATGACCCCCTGGGGCAGGGCCAATTTTGACCCCCAGGCCTTTATTTTAACAAACTTGATAGAAACTCACTAGAAGTTGTTTCATGTCAAATATCTAAGCTCTAGCTCTTTGGGTTCTTTAAAAAAAGGTATTTTAAGGTTTTTCTTTTGGTTGCCATGGCAACCAGAGTTCTGCATGGAATTCAATTCTTTGAACAATTTTCAAAGTTGACTACCAAAGGAACATTCCTGTGAAGTTTGGATGAAATTGGATTAGTGGATAACGAGGAGATGTCATTTAAAGTAAATGTTTACGGACGCCGGACGGACGGAAGCCGGACAAAAAGCAATCACAAAAGCTCACCCTGTCACCTCTTTGTGACAGGTGAGCTAAAAACTTTTGCTAAGAGCTTCAGATAATTTTTTTGGGCAATGAGAACTTACTCATTTTTTTTGGTAAATGAATAAAACTTGAAATCTGGAATTTTGGAGGTGTTATTTCACTCCTTGAATTTTGTAAATGAGTAAAACCATTAATCATGTTCCTATGTTTATAGCATAATGTTACAATGAATACAATGTTAATATTTGTAAAATATAGTACGTATTCAATGTACTTTCATTGTAGTTTATCTTATTCACAAAGAAATGTATATCTCTCCATTTTTCTGCTGTTAATTTTTGGCATAAGTAATATTTTACCTTTAAAGGAATCTATTTATCTAAATTGTTGAAGAAACGGAAATATAATTGTTTTAATAAAGATTAGTCACAAATATCTTATATATTTTTCTTTTGCCCTTACCAAAATGACTTTAAGTGTCTTATATGTTTCTTATATCATGTATATGCAACTTATACTTGACCTATAAAAGAATTATAAGTTACATATAAGTCAATTATAAATCATCTAAAAACCTGTCTAAGTCAGTTTTATAGGTATATGGTACATATAAGTCACTTTTAGCCATTTTTCCCCATCATATAAGTCACATACAAGTGCCTTATACTGGTCGAGTTTGAGGTAACCAGTTTCTATGTTAGATATAAGTGAAAAATTAATTAGAACTTTTGCGAGACTTTTTATAACTGAGCAAAGCTGAAACAGTACCCAGATATTTACTTATATAAGTTGATTTCTTATTATTTCCTTAAACACAATGAATATCAAAATACTCAAAATTTAAAATACTATAATCTTAAGTCAATTTTTGTCCTTTAACCTTGACCTTGACCTTAAGCTGGCACAAAGCTTACATGGGTTCTGCACATAATCTTGTTGAGGTGCACATTTGAGTAAAGTTTGAAGAAAATTCTTCTAAAAAAAAGTCGAGCAAAAAATACTAAATATCCACACGAAAATACACAGGTGCACAATTACACATGGTGATCAACATTCCTGTAAAGTTTCATGACTCTCGGTTAAATACTTTAAACGGACGGACGGACAAGGGTAAACGTAATGTGGGAGCACAAAAAAAACAATAGTTAAAGCATTTTACCTCTTTTTGCTCTTTCATTATTGTCTCAAGAACAGTTAATTTCTTTTTTAAATCTGCATACTCTTTCTCAGCCTCTAGTTGTCCTTTCTTTTCTTCAGAAATCTGTTTCTCAAGATCTGCAAGTTTGTTTTCAGTCTCAACTTTTCCCTCTGAAAGTTTATTCTTTAGGTCCTCATATTCTTCTTTAGTTGCAGCATTTTCTGTTGACTTCAAAACTGTTGCCATTTCATCCTTGATTTGCCTCAGGATATCTTCAAAGCCTTCAGTAGTAATAATGAAGTCCTTTTTCTTCAGCTGATGAAAATAAATCAGTTAGGCCTATATTACATTTTCTTTCATAAAAAATGTAGCTTTGTGATTTAAAATATTTATTCCTCTATAAAACATATCATATATATGGCCAAATTTAATTTAAAGATTATCTCAATTGGTCTTTCATATTAACAGTCATACTTTTCTGAGGGCCTCTAAAATCTGCTTTTAAGGTAGAATGTACACATGGTATAGTCATTTGATTGCCAGACTTTTCTTTTTTCTTCACATTTGTTTTTCTTACCTGTTACTAACAAGCTTAGAACCGAAAATTTTATATTTACTTATTGTAGGTATTTTTATTTGATTTCATCAAGGTTAAGAAAACTTAAAGATCCTGTATGTTTTGTGATTGATATTGTTACTGTGTGTATACCACACTTGCAAAAAATTATATATGTATATAATTATACAAATAAAACAATTTTCAAACATCGAAGAACATGTAAAATGTGTACTGCAATTATTTGTGCATATTATATTTAATCAATAAATTACATGCATTCATTTCATTGGAATATTTGACTATGAATTTATAGAAAAATTAATTTCTTATTACCTCCCTTTATTTACATGAAATGTTAAATTGGGTAATATCTTTAAAGATAATGCTTATTCGAACTAACAATATTGAAAAATTATTTGAGCATCATATTTATAAAATAAAGTCATGAAAAAATTGTGTTACAAGGTCTTTAAGTCAGTTACTTAATTTTGACTAAAACTAGAACTGCCACTGTCATGGCGTGAATACCTCCACATGCCACTTTGTCAGAATCAACAATGGCCATTTTGGGCTCAAAGACAACCTTCTTGCCAAATCTGAGGTAACTAAGCCAGTGCATTTTCTAAGTTATGTATTATACATGCTTCAAATGTGAAAATGTCAAAATCAATACACTGTGGACAGACATTCTTGAACATTTGAGCAGACAAGCTTATTAGAGTAAAAATCCCTTTGACTTTGACCTTTGACACAGTCACCTTAAATCAATAGGGGTCATCTACTAGTCATAAACAATCTCAATACCAAATATGAAGACTGTTGACCAAAGCATTCTTAAACATTCAATTGAGCGGACAGGCTTTTCTTAGTCAAGACACCAGTGACCTTTGACCCAGTGACTTCAAAATTAATAAGGTCACCTAATGGTTATGATCAACCTCCATGCCAAATATGATGACTGTGGGTCAAAGGTTTCTTAAGTTATTGGGCGGACAAACCTTTTTTAGTCAAGTCCCCTGTGACCTTGACCTTTGACCATAAAATCAATAGGGGTCATCTACTAATCAATCTCATAAAAGAAAATTGTGGATCAAAAGAATCTTAAGTTATTTGGCGGACAAGCTTTTTTCAGTCAAAACCCCTGTCACCTTGACCGTTAACCCAGTTACCTCAAAATCAACAGGGGTCATCTAATGGTCATGGTCAACCTCCAAGCCAAATGCGAAGAAATTGGATTAAATGAATCGTAAGTTATTGAGCGGACAAACTTTTTTTAAGTTAAAGCCCCTATGACCTTAACCTTTGACCTGATGACCTCAAAATCAATAGGGATCATCTACTTATCATGCCCAATATAAATACCTAATAAAGACTATGGGTCAAAGGAATATTAAGTTATTGGGTTGACAAGGAAAAAACACCGGAGGGGGTGATGGACGGATATCCAGACGGACGAGCTGATTCCAGTATCCCCCTTACAACTTCATTGTGCGGAGGTAAAATGAATTAACCACTTCGAGCACTTTTTTCTATTTAACTCCGTAAATTGAGTAAAATGTACTTATTTTAAATTCTGATAATTTAACTCTTTAAATATTTTAAACTTAATTTATTAAGTACACTTACATCTTGAAGTTTCCCAACAGCTTGTTGTGCATCTTGTCGATGTACAAGCTCCTGGTCATCTTGAAGAACAGCTATCATGCCATCAATATAACAATTAGCCTTACTCTCCTCTAATTCCATACTACTAGAGTGAAAAATCTCATTTCGATACTGCCGTACCTAATATATAGAAAACAAATAATACAACATTCACATAAATACAGTAATCAGCAATGAGACTAAACACAATACTTAAGTTGAGAATTAAAACTGTTAAAATACATAATAATCATTATCAATATTGTGTTTAAACCGCAGATTATAATAAAGCAAATAGAAAGAAATGGCTTTTAATATAAATGTTATAATGTTATAATTATTTTACTGAAGTAATGGTATTTACGTGTTGCATTTGCTTATAAAACACAAATAACCTACTTCTGTACATTTTACTGTGAGACTTAAAATAAAAATAGTTTTTGTTTCCCACTCACAAAAATAACAGCTTGCCAAAAGATTGTATTGCCAATAAAATATTTGTGAATACAATTTTTTGTGTAACAATTTTGAATCATTATTCATTTTGTGGCAAATTACTTCTCTGGCAAAATAACTTTATATTAACCTCTTAAGTACATGTATATAGACATTCTTTAAAGTAAGTGCAGTAATGGGTCAACTCTTATTAAAATTAAATAAGAGTTAACCAATAAGTGCTCTAAGGTGACAATAATCTCTTTAACTTTGATGCTCAATTAACGGATTAAATCATACAGTAAAGCTTAATATTCTACAAAATTGGAAAAAACATAGTATACAAATGGGTTTACCTTTAAAAAAAGATTGTTTGGTCCTGTAACATTGCATCTAATATGACTATGAAAGTATGTGTTATTTATGATAACATGAAGCAATCCTGTACAATCCGTGTCGGCTGCTGATGTCTTGTCCTTGTACCCAGGAGCATTTATAAAACATTTGCAAACGTCCCAATGGTCTGTTGACCACTGTTGGACATCACTGTTTTTCCAAAAAGGTGCAGGTGGTATTGATGCATGATACTGTATAATGCTGTCATAGATGGCACCACATATGTTGTTTGGACAAATTTTGCCTTTAAAGCAACATCTGCAATTTACTTGCCTAAGAGGACAAACTTTGTTTTTACCATTTCCTACTGGCTTATGGTCTGGCTTGAGAGTTTCAAACCGACAGCTGCCACACGTCACAGTTGATGATAGAGATTTTTTAGACCGAATGTTTTGTAAGATATCCTTATACTGTTGGTCAGCTATGTCATTACAGAATGGTGCCAGTCCCTCCTTTAAATATCCAAGTCCTAAACCAGCCTTTACCCACTGTCTGTATTTTTCCTTCTCTAACTGACGTTGATGTGCCATCCTGATCAATATCTAAACAAACAAAAAAACTAATTTTTGTTAAAATTTTATATAAATTAAGTAAGTACATACGGTCTTGGATTATAATTTCAAGACCAAAATATACCAGAAAAACAAAATATACCAGGTAAATAAGATAAACATCAGTGTAAATTTTAAAGCCGCATGCCTCCAGACGGGCCAAAATATTTTTTTAATCAAACTTGAGAAAAAACGTACCTGATTTTGAGAAAAGTAAAAATATAAAGGATTCTAGTTAAGATTCTAGTAATGATTTAAAGGTTTTGTGCGATTAATGACTGATTTTGCAGCATTTATCACAATATTTACATTATTTATACTGCACACGAGACTAACGCAGGACGGGCTATTTTTACATTTTATGACCTTTTGGGTAATTTATGTGAACGGCAAGTGTCGTTTGCAAAGTATAGATTTCTGAAAATCTTTGTTTACTTTAAAATATCTTAATTTTCAAGTATATTTCAAAATTTTCATGAAAATTATCAGAATCTAGAGGCATGCTGCTTAAATGTCAAGAAGTTGTTTTTTTTATAATTATTATGATTATAACTGTACCCAAAATGACCAAATTCGAACTTTTAATCGCTATTAACTTCTCTGAAAAATTCACAAATAAAGAGTTAACAATGTTTTTAAATATAGGCCATAATTCAAAATTCTTAAAGAAATATTTCCAGTACTTTCCAGAGTTATCAAAAATGTTGTATTTGCAATATTTTAAGGCTGCATGTTGCCATAGCAACCAAATTTGATAATATCCAGACTCCTGAGTTACCCATATTTAGAGTAATAAAATATTGTCAGTACTTTTTTTAATTATCATGGGATCCAGTTTTAGTGGACCAAGGGACTGACAGAAGACAGACATACGTTCTTATGTAAGGACATTTTCTTTGTAACTGAATTTTGTTTAAAAGTACATGTAAGCCAAAGAAGTACACAGCAATACTGACAGAATAAATATAATTTACCCATTGTTCAAGATTCCAAACAAATACCCATTTATTTCCCCGGACGAACCAACATGCCCACTCTTTGACTTTTGTACTATGAGCTAAATTTCTCATAAAATTTATAAGCTTCAAGAAAGTTTCTGAAAATTGATGGTTAGGAGTTTTGTAACCATCCGAATGATGCACTTACGGACAATTGATTTGTACTACTTGAGCAATCTTTGCTCAGGTGAGCTAAGAATCAAACATGTACAGTAAACTTGCTAAAATTAATCGAAACAATACATTTATTTACATTTTAATCGATTTCTTTTAACAAAATTGAAAAGACCTGTTCCTCACAGAGGCATGTCGGCAATTATCAGCTTAAAATGATTCGCTCATTTTCAATGTGGTGAATTTTGTTTTATATTTACATTATCCTCTTAAGATATTAAACTGTTAATCTTTACATATTTAGAATGCATAGAAATATTTTGTTAGAGCATTGACAAAACAAATCTCAAGCATTTAAGCCGGTGACAAATATGATACATTTCGTTTGACATAAACAAAAAAATATTTCACCAGTTTAGTGTGTTTGGTCAATTTGCCCCATGCAAAAGGTACGCTCTGACTGGCTCGTGCTGATAACAGACGGGTACAAATTGAAATAGGTAAGCAGCAATTGTTTAGAATTTAACATTTTCAGCAATGATTTTTTTCTGATGGGCCAAAAGTCTGTAATTGTTGGGAGACTGATGAAATTAAACAAATATAAAAGTACATTCAAATCATTAACCATGATATTTTTTGTTTACAACTATATTTTCATGTGTGCAATGGGACACACATATTTTGTAATCGTGCGATTTTCTAGATTTTTTGTGCTACTCCGACGCTGTATGCATTTATAGATTGATTTCTTAACTACATTTATATCATTAACAAGTGGCGAAGCAGAACACTTACTATAAAAAGAATTTGTAACAGAGTTACCAACGTCCCCCGCCTCAGGGAAGTTTTATATGAAGCATAAAATTGTGCTATTTCAAAAGATTTAAGGTATGGATCTCAGGACTTTCAGTACAAAATTATGATCAATGCTAGATCTGCAAATTCAACAATACATTCATTAAAGAAATAAAATGAAATACGGAATTTAAAAATCTATCATGTTAAGATTTGACCTCTAAGTGTGACCTTGACCTTGGAGGTAGGGGTGCAGGCGTTGCGCATGACATATTGTCTTATTATTGTAACTATTTGTGCTAAGTATTTTCAAAATCCCTTGCTCTATGAAGAAGTTATAGATCGGACACAAAATATACCCTATAATAGACTATATTAATCTTTGACCTCTAAATGTGATGTTGACCTTGAAAGTAGGGTTTGCTGGTGTTGTACCTGACATTTTGTCTTATTATTGTGACTATTGTGCAAAGTTATTTCACAATCCCTTGATCTATGAAGAAGTTCTAGATCGGACATGATAAATATATACAGACTATGTTAATTTTTGACCTCTAAGTGTGACCTTGACCTTGGAGGTAGGGATGCAAGAGTTGCGCATGAAACATCGTTTTATTATAGTGACTATTTGTCCCAATTATTTTTAAAATCCTTTGATCTATGACAGAGTTATGGACCGGACACAAAATATACCCTAAAACAGACTATGTTAATCTTTGACCTCCAAGTGTGACCTTGACCCTGGAGGCAGGTGACCGGTTGTTGCGCATGACACATTTTGGCAAGTGTTTACAAAAACCCTTCGAAGATAAGAAAGTTATGGACCAGACACGACATATACCCCCAAATAGGCAATGTTGACCTTGAATGAGCAAGTGCGACCTTGAACCTGGAGGTAGGGGTCTGATTGTTGCGCATGACACATCGTCTTATTATAATAAACATTTGTGCCAAGTTATTTCAAATTCCTTTCATAAATGACAAAGATATGGACCGGACACAAAAGTGTGACGGACGGACGGACAGACGGACGGATGTTCTCACAGGACAGTAATTATGTGGCTACTCTTTTGTTCTCTCTATTGTTCTTTTTAGCCACACAAAAGAAATAGCCACATAAAAGCATTACGGAATGAATGACATCAAAGAGGAAGAACAGTTACCTATTGTCCCTCTAGCCACATAATTACTCTCCTGTGAGTGCGAACGGACAGACGGACGGACGGACGGACGGACAGACGAACGGACGGAGCCTATTTCTATATCCTCCTTTTTTCTTCGAAACGGCGGGGGACAATAACCTTTCATTTTCCCAATGTACTAAAACAAAGAAAAGCAGTGAAGTTAAGAAAATAGCATAATTACGTAAAAATGTAATTAAGAGTGGCAAAACTTTGCATACTGAGCTAACTTCTGACCTTTCATATATTATAAAGTTTCAAGTGGATATCTGTTCTAGTTTAAGTATTAATGATTATATATCAGAACATTTTCTAAGCCTTAAAGGGGCATAACTTGTGTCATTATTCAATGGAATTGTAATATTTTCGTCATCTGAGCTTGCTTGTAACTATTTATATAATTTTTAAGTTTCAAGTTATTATCTGTTCTGGTTTAAGACATTTTATGGTAAATAAATTTAAAGACATAAAAATGGACTTAACTTTGTCAAAATACAATACACAGTTATCCCCCACTTTTTTAGTAATGAAACTTTACTTGCATATCTTACTTGCGACACTTCGTATATATTTGAAGTTTCAAATGATTATCTGTTCTAGTTTTAGATATATTCAAGTACATGTTATAATTTTAGAATATTTTCTAAGTCAATTTTTTTACCTTCAAGTGTGGCTTTGACCTTAAATTGGCAAAAGGGTAAGATTGGTTTTGCACATTGCCCATTAGTGTAGGACTTACAGAGCGGACATGACATACTGTCTAATATTTGATTGGTTGATATTTGACCTTCAATTGTGACCTTAACCTTGAGCTGACACATGGGCAACATGGGTTCTGCACATCCCCTTGTTGAGGTTAACATTTGAGCCAAGTTTGAAGAAAGTCCTTCAATTGGTATAGGCTTTATAACGGAGACGGAAAGACCGACCGACGCGACAAAGCGAGTCCATCAAAGCCCCCCCCCCCCGGCAACATTTTGTGGTGGGAGTATAATGAACCGAAAAAATGTTGGTTAGATGCATAAGTAGAAATAGTATTGATCATTCCTGTAAAGTTTTATAATTTGGGGAAAACAGTATGGCCCTTTTTACAGACAATCTTTCATACTACTGATAAAATTATCTCGATGTTTCTTTGTCAAGTCTAAAAATTTAGAATTTTAGACTTTTAATAAATCCCCGATAGAATAGTAATTTCTTAGTATTATTAGATTAGAGGCGTATTTCAACGCGGATTTTTGTGTGTGCAGATTTTTTACTGAGTTGGCGGGTCAGTAAACCGGAAGATAAAAAAACAAGATATGTTTGTAAAACATGTATGCCCCCTATCGGCAGCCAATTACTCATGTGATCAGGTTATTATGACTGACTTTTGACCTAGTGACCAAAACATCAATAAGGGTTAATTATTTGTCATTACTAGTTACCGCAAAGGTTGTGTGCAGCATTTTTATGACACAATTGTTTCAAATCTTACCAAATAAATACATGCATAAATTTAATGAATAATGCAGGCCTCATTAATGATAGCCAAGTTGTAATATTACATAAGACCTTGAAATGTGTATACCAAAAGGATTTTTAGTTTAATAAAAAAATACCAACCAAGGCAACTTGAATTGTTGAGTCAGAAACAGTCTTTATATTCAAGGTCAATATGACATTGACCTTTGACCCTTAAATCAATAGGGATTATCTACTGGCCAAGACCAATACACCTGTTGGGATATTAATCAGAAAGCGTTGCTACCTATCAGGACAATATGATCTTGATCTCTGACCCATTAACGCCAAAAATCCATTGAGGTCATCTTTTGACTAAAAGCTATGCATCTGTTAAGCTTGAAGGTCAAGGGTCCATGGGTTGTCCAGTTATTGATGGAAAACCATTTTGAAAT